TCCGATACACGTAGCTGCGTAAGTCCTTCGTTTTAATAATTTCTTACTATGAAACGCGTTATGTGCCGGATTGTGGAATGAAACGCGTGATTTATATGGGTGTCCGACATCAGACGTTGATAAAGCTACTACGAAAAGCCATTTTGACAGAATTTTGACAACGTGTATCTGACATCATAACCTCAACACGTCCTACGAAATATGAAGCAACGATCATCGATTTAGCTTCGCATCGGACCCGGAAGTAACGACGAGTCGAAGATCGTGATTTGATACAAGTAGTTGCTGATACCTTACACCGAAACGCCAAATGACAGCTTACGTGTCGTATTTTGATATTATTTTCATCTTAGAACTGACATAAAACCAACGGTAGCTCGAGCGGTATCGTTTGTGTAAAAACATCGTGAATACTGTTAGTTGTGGAGACGGTCGGACAAGAAATACGTGAAGACGAAGTAGAGAGACGACGTCGAAGGAATCGCAGTTTCTTGGTATCGCTTACTGATGGCAAAGTTGTAAGCGATTACCGGCTCGCTGCGAGAATTTTGTATAATCTTTTTGAGGATGTAACACGCAGGGTGTTCAAAAATATTCTAGGTTTATTGACCAGCCACCACCAAGAAAAGGAGCTCTTCCGCTGCTACTACGTAAGTATATTATTTATTATGTTGATTTTCAGAACCTGGTTATTACGAAGTCGATGAGTACGGTGTGCGACACGAAGATCTTGTGGAAGTCATCGAGATGAGCAAAGATGCTGATCATATTATGGTAAGAAAACGCCACTGGCTACTCGCACTCAGTATCTGCACTAGAGATGCACATTTACGATTAAATTTTTATGAAGATCGATTCATTTGCATATGATGCACATGTTTTATATGATTTTTTTAATTGATTCATTTCAATGCGATTTTTAATTCATTATTCTCTCATTAACTCATGTTATTAATGATTTCGTCAAGTACAGAAATGGAAAATAAAGAGGAAGACAATGCCTTGGATATTACGTTATATGACATTATTATTGAAAAATTTAGTTATATGTAAAGGATTGGCAATCTTTTCCATGAAAAGTAAACGGTAAACTGTATCTGTAATCTCTACAGCACGCATCGAGTATATATCCAGAAAAAAAGATGAAATCCCCTGGCAACTCATGAGGCAAATGGGCCTTATATCATTTTTATATATCAACTGTCGTTTGCGCTGAAATCACAAATTAGAAAGCTGAAATAGGACAGCGTCAACAACTGACGTGTGTGTACGTCTCCGTATATTCTAAAAATATTCTGTATTTATTGTAATAAAGATAATATCTCGTACAATGTGGGGCTGTTCCATTCGGTAGTGTGGGAAAAACAGCAAAACATCTAATTACAAAACAAACGAAATCAAATTTCATCGGTAATTAAATATTAAATATGTAATTTTTCAATTTTCGTCCATTATAGCAAAGTTCAAGTTAAACTGGTCGATTTCAAGTGATGACAACTGCGCTGTGATTGGCCAGTCAAATTCGGGCTGGCCAATCACAGCGCAGTTGTCACCGTAAATATTTGGCAGAACACTTTTCCAACAAATTAAATGACATTTCGTCTCTATTTCTGGTTATATACTCGACGACAGCACATTTACAAAAAAAACTTATTCCAGGCTGACGGTATTGTAGGCGACTTCGGTGGCGTGGGAGCGTTGGGTTTCCACTCGATAACTTTAGTGCCTCATCAGGTTGCCTGTCTCAACATCACCTTGCTGAGTGACTTTGAGGTATGGATTATTTTGCATTTGCAAAAAGAAAAAAATACAATGGAAAGGCCATACGCCTCATATTAGAGCCGGTGTCGCCAAAACTCACACTATCATAATAATGTTAGACACTATGAAATCATTGTAATGATTGATCGTAGTTTCTTATTTTTAACCGACTTCAAAAAAGGAGGAGGTTCTCAATTCGACTGTATGTTCTTTTCTTTTGTATGTATGTTACGCGATAACTCCGGTATTTGTGAACCGATTTTCATGATTCTTTTTTGTTGGAAAGGGGGTACTTCCATAGTGGTCCCATTTCATTTTGAAGAAAATCATCCACCTCTAAGGGTAGCTGTTCACGCATTCATTTTTATGAATGGCGCCTAATTTTAATTTAGGAGCAATTATTTTAATGGTTGATTTTGCTATTTCTCCAATTCAAGGCGTTTTTCTCTTAATATACTTTGAGTAGTGAGAACCGATTTTTATTATCTCCAGTGTCAAGTCCTGTATAGTAGGCGAACTAGGGGATATTTCAATATAACGTAGCGAGTACAATAGACAACAGAATTTTAATTCTGAACCAAAAAGAGCGCCTTAGTGACGTGGTAGAAATAAAAATTGATATATTAAAATACAGGAGTAGAGTCAAAGATAATTTTATTCCATAGGTAAAATAAATGTACACTTGAAAACGTTACATTTAACCTACAGCTCGTTCACTGCGCTCACTTCCCTGAGAAGAATGAACAAGAAACTCTAGGGATTGCTCTTTTGATATAAACTTAAATGCTTATGCATTTTGAAACAAATTTGTGTGCAATCTAGAGCTATGTCGTCTTTCCATGCATCTTTATCTATCACGTAGTCTTCAATTTTGTAATATTAGTTTTCAATCAAAATATTTTTAATGTAGTTTTTAAACTTAGGAAATGATAATCTTAATATATGCTCCGGAATTTTATTGTAAAAACGTATACGCACCATGATATGGTCAATGGTCAGGAAACTTCGCCATTATGGTGTGGCGAGACGTGATCTCGATCTTCTTAAATCGTATTTGCGTGGTAGGGTACAGAGGGTCGATGTTAACGGTACGAGATCATCAGGGTCTGCAATTAGCATGGGTGTCCCTCAAGGTTCAATTCTAGGCCCTTTTTGTTTTTAGTTTATATTAATGACTTACCTAGCCTTATGGAGGGTATAAAACATGAGATAGTATTGTTTGCTGATGATACTTCCTTATTATTTAAATTTAAAAGGCACCAATATTCCTACGACGATGTGAACAATGCTATATCTAAAGTAGTTGATTGGTTTGCTGTTAATAACCTACTTCTTAATGATAAAAAAACAAATTGTGTGAAATTTACATTACCCAATGTTAGAGAGACGGTTACAAACATTATAGTTAGAAACGAAAAATTGAATCTTGTGGATACAGTTGTATTTCTAGGTATAACGTTAGATGCTAAATTGCAATGGGGTCCCCATATAAGTAAGTTATCAAAACGGCTCGGCTCTGCAGTGTACGCGATTAAAAAAATAAGGAAACTTTCAGACGTCGAAACCGCTAGATTGGTTTACTTCAGCTACTTTCACAGTCTAATGACATACGGCATTTTGCTTTGGGGTAAAGCCGCCGATATCAATAGAATCTTTGTCCTGCAGTAATGTGCAGTTAGGGCAATTTACAATCTGGGCCCCAAAGTATCTTTGAGAGATAAGTTCAAGGAAATAACATTCTTACACTAGCCTCACAGTACATTTATGAAAATGTAATTTATGTTAAAAGAAATAGTAATTTCTTTATGAAAAATAGTGACAGACATAACATTAATACGAGGAATAAAAATAAACTAGCTTTTCTTGATAGTCGTCTTCACAAAGTCAAAAAATCATTTAAAGGGCAGTGTAGGTATACGCTTCTATAACAAGATTCCGGTTGATATACAAAATTTGCCTTTCACGAGGTTTAAAACTATAGTGAAACAAAAACTTTATACTAAAGGTTATTATACAACTTCTGCGTACTTGAATGACAAAAATTCGTGGTAGTAACCCGTTTAGCTCATGGAGGTAGTCTCGATCTCTGATGTTTACAAAGAGAAATGTTATTTACAAAGAGCAACCCCTAGAGTTTCTTGCTCATTCTTCTCAAGGGAATCTGCCTTACGAATGAGCGGAAGAGTTTAATATTGTGACGATTTCAAGTGTAATAATGCTAACCTATGAAATAAAGATTATTTTGAATTTGAATTTGAATTTGAATTTGTATACACTTCCCCATAAAAGAGTCGTTTTGTTAACCTTGGTTAAATGAAATCGTGGTACTAAGAGTTTGGACTTAGCTCTAAGGTTAACATTATGGATATCTTCTTTGTTATTGAAATTATGTATATTTTTACGGCTATATAAAATATTTGAGTAAATGTACTGTGATGTCACTATCATGATACCAGCTCCTTAAACTTTTGTCTGAGAGAAACCCGAGAACCTAAACGGTACACAGAACGAATCGCTCGTTTTTGCAATACAAATATGGTTTGAATATCTGCTAATATAAGAAAAAAATAATTTTACATTTTTTACTGATAATTTCAGATTAAATACATAAACGATTACCACGCGCGAGTTTTAGCTACAATTGGCCCAGTTCTTCAGAGGAGGGGTTTAACCGAAGACTACAATTGGTTGAAGCGAGAATGTGAACCAATAAAACGCAGCGGCAGTATAATAGTTACAGCTACGCCGATTGTGATTATCCTGAGTTTTGTTGTAAAGTTTTTGTAAATAAACAATTATATTATTATAATTTGTATTTGTTGTCTATTTATTTTACTTGTACCTTAAGTTGTTAAGTTTTACATACATACATACATACATATACTTCACGCCTTTTTCCCATCGGGGTAGGCAGAGACAACAGTCTTCCACCTGCTACGGTCCTGACACACATCCTTCCTGTTAAGTTTTATACAGGGTTATTTTTGTAAAATACTAACAACCTCCCAGAACTAGAGGTGTATTTAGGCCATAGGGGAACGGGGGGCATAACGGGGTTGCGAGGCACAACGGGGCCACTCACAGATCTAAGTAGCTAAATATGCTAACAGTATACTGTTTTGCAAATAAAAGCGACCATCTTCAAACGGCGGCCAGCGCGAAAGTGGCTGGAGACTGCATGCGTTCGTTTTTTTACAAGAAAAAAACATTTTTGAACACGTTTCATCTTATTTTAACCGACTTCAAAAAAGGAGGAAGTTCTCAATTCGACTGTATGTTCTGTTTTTTGTATGTATGTTACGTGATAACTCCGGTATTTGTCAACCGATTTTCATGACTTTTGTTGCAAAGGGGGTACTTCTATAGTAGTCCAGTTTCATTTTGAAGGAAATCATCCACCTTTAAGGGTGGCTGTTCACGCATGAAGATTCATTTTTATAAATAGCGCCTAACTTTAATTTAGGAGCAATTATTTTAATGGTTGATTTTGCTATTTCTCCAATTCAAGGCGTTTTTCTCTCAATATACTTTGAGTAGTGAGAACCGATTATTGTTATCTCCAGTGTCAAATCCTGTATAGTTGCGAACTAGGGGATATTTCAATAAAACTTAGCAAATAGACGTAATTCCACGTACTTTTGAGGTCGGTTTTTTAGTACTCTGTACTGAGAATATTGTGTTACCACAAATACACATAAAAAAGAAAGTACTCTTGTTCAGACTTTTGTTTTTTTGTTGTTGTTTTGTAGTTATGGTATTTCTTAATATATACTGATTAAAATTATTGTATTAACAGCCCTGTCCCCACGCCAGTATTGTTTTAATTTAACAATACTGAAAACATATCGTAATATAGGTACATTAATTTCAATGAGTATGTATTAATAAGGAACATAACTACAAAGTAACAAAAACAAACAAAAGCATCAACTTGAGTAACTATGTGAGTAGCCCCGTAGTACCTCAACCAGTCAGTAGCAACTTGATCGTAATAGGAGCGCACAAAGGCTTCATAAAACCAATATCCAAGGCTGGAGCCTGTGGAGTCACAGATTTAAATCACAACGGCCACCACTGCGCCTGTCACTGGGACAAAGTTGATTATGTAACTAATTTCACCAGCACGCTCACCCTATACTGCCCCTTTCAAAGACATCTAATTACAAAACAAACGGAATCACATTTCATCGGTAATCAAATATTAAATAATGTAATTTTTCAATTTTCCTCCATCATAGCATAGCTCAAATTAAACTGGTCAAGTTGAAGTGAAACAATTGACGACACCCGTCAATTGTTTCGAATTCGGGCTGGCCAATCGGAGCACAGTTTGATTTGGCAGAATAGTTTTCAAACAAATTAAATGATATTTCGTCTCTATTTCTGGATAAATACTCGATGTCCGTAGGGACCTCTTCAATCTGTAGTTAAGTTACTATCCTTTGGTCTTCAAGCGCTATAGTAGTCTAATGTCCTGATTTACCGAAGAAAGAAGCAACCATTTTCTTACCAATGCTCCGACTTTTCTTAACTTTCGTTGGAAAATCTTCAAAACGAAAGACCCGTCCTGCGGACTCGCTTTTTCTTTCCGGTTCAAAGCAGTACACCTAGGCTTCGTCACTTGTCACGATATTAAATACAGCCAATGATTGTCCACCATTAAACTTTTTTATCATTTTACGGACCACTCTACACGCAGTCGTTACTGGTATTTCGTTATATCATGCGGTATCCATCGAGTGCAAAGTTTCCGAACCTTCAGACGCTCAAGCAATATCTTTTAAAGCACACACTCAACATAGACCCGCACTAGGGAAACCCTGTGTCGCGGGTGCCATGCACAAACCCATAGACAACCCCAAATTACACCCAAAGTTACGAGAGAAATAAATGTAGGCCATACAAATATTTCTCCCAGCCCGGGAATCGAACCGATCGGGTAGTCTCGAAATCAGATGGGTTTCCGAGCAAGAAGATGAACCTGGTTCCTACTATATCTTTCTAATTTGTTAGTTAAATCAACTATTGTTTCGATTTGAAATGTCTAAATTTCCGATCGGCCAGTTGTGAATCGCAATTATGCGTTTCGACTTGGAAGAGACGCAGTTTCCGATCGGGAGAGGCAATCAAAATCAAGCTGCTGGGACCTCTGCGTGGCAGTCCGGCATGGTAACCGTTCGGCCACAGAGGCAGCACTTTTGCACCTGGCGCATTCCACTGCCTAATACAGTACGAGTTTGCTGTCAAGTAAAAAAGTAAAAAAGTCAATTTCAATCAGTTGTCATACGGTATCAATATAATTTCGGTAACCGCAGTCGCCGGCCGACCTTCACGTACATCGTCGGATGATCACGTCCACATCTAAAAATTCACTGACCCACGAATACACGAAGCTACGAAATAGGGCTTCATCAAATGCCAATTGAAGTCTCTGACAACTCTCTTGTTGACTTAAGCCACGTTGAAAATCGTACAAAATCATGGATCGAAAATTTTCACGACTGAAATTCATTGTAATAGCGACTTAACAGTTTTATGACAACAACACCACACAACAACATACAACAAAGATCGAACACTTAGAAACAATTCCTTCAATCCGGCCGGATTCGAACAGACGTCTTCTAGTAAACTGTGCCAACAGCTAAGCGAACTACGCCACGGAACGAACCAGCGGACCTCACGAATTTTTCTATGTTTCTTGTTGTCGGATCTTTACATATTTGGTTTTCAACAACTTTTAGTCGTAGCGCCATCTATGAGAAATCTATGAAAGTATTTCGTCACCCAGTTAGGTAACTTTACAGCTACCAGGCTTGGCTAGAGATGTCGCTATTAACAATAATTAAATTTATATTGAATTGATATTCAATTATTTTTTTGTTAAATTACTCCACTAGTTTGTTAATTATTAATACAAAGATCAAACACTTAAAAAATTCCTTCGATCTGGCCGGATTCGAACCGGCGTCTTCTAGCAAACCGCGCCAGACCGTAAGCCAACTATTCGTATTAGTTTTTTTCAGTTTCTTTTACAATTGGCGAGTTCCAGGAACTTTCAGTGTGCCTCACTTGTAAAATACCATTAAACATCTCGGAACTAGAGGTTATTACATCATAAACAACAATTTTTGTTCCATGACTTGTCTGTACTTACTTACCAACTTACCAGAAAACATTTTTCACCGAGTTCAAAAAAACGAGGTTGTGTGTGCATGTTACCCGATTACTCCGATGTTTGTGAACGGTTTTTGATGATTCTTGTTTTGTTGGAAAGGGGGTACCTCAGTAGTGGTCCCATTAAAATTTGAAGAAAAGATTCCATCTCTAAGGGTAGCAAACTAGGGGAGTATTGGTTTTGCGCACTTTTCAGTAACCAATTTCAATAAAACTTGGCAAATGGATGTAATTCTACGAACTTTTGAAGTCGGTTTTTTTAGTAGTCTGTAATGAGATTATTCAAAGTCGGTTCATTAACTTTTATTAAAATAGTTTACATTTTTTTTACAAAAATTAAAGAACTTGAAATGGCGCATGTATTCTTTCAACTGTTTAGTTTTATTTTATAAGTTACGTCAGCATCAGTCGACTCAAGGTAAATAAGAAAAAAAAAACAACAAAATTGATTGATTTAAATTAATAATTTCCTTAACAACTAGAACATTCTACTACGGTATGGTGATTATCTTAATTCTCGTGTTCGCGGTATTTCTTGATGTTGCACAGTACCCACGCAGGTACAGCGGTCCACCCGATCACCATTATACTGGACAAGAATAGGATCTCCTGGAATGGAAAACATTATAGTGTTATAATGCGGCTTTTTTTATAACAAGTAACAGAGTGAACAGTATTTCTGTGGCAGTAGAGCTTCTTGTGAATGAGTTCGTCCATTGAAGTAATGTCAGCATTACTGTGTTCCGATTTAGAAAGGGTAAGTAAGGTACTGGTGAAAGTACAGGCACATGGGTCTTGTCAACTTATGACTCATGGTGACGGGCGCAGTGGCAGTGCCCTTCAGATCCTTGCGATTTAAAACTCCGAGTGGCACTGCAACTGTTATGGATGGATTGGGGTGTAGCATAACATAAGGCTGCATACCGTACCTTACCGTAACCGTACATTATAAAAAAAGAAGAGGTTGGGATGTCCGCAAAACGCCTTCCTTTTTTGAGTTCAAGTTCTCTTCATTAGGCATCGCAAGAGGATTTCATCGTTTGAGTACCCAGAGCGAACAAATCACGAGAGAATGCTTAAAAGTGTGGGGACCCAAAATTATATAAAAGAACAGTTTAAATTGTCATCGATAAAGACAACATGAAAAAACTACAAGGTCAACAAACAACTCTATATTTTTGTCATCTAAGTAACCAGACATTTTTCAGTGGCAATCACTATTATAACCTGACAGTACTGCGAAAGATAACCTATCTTTTTTCGCCTTAAATTACGTAACGTGTTTCAATGGCTTTCAAGCAAAATAAACTAGAATTAACACTGTATATTTATATTAAATTGCAGTATATACACAAATATGGGCCAAATAAGGTTGATTTACATAGATATATACGAATTAGGAACTTAATAGATGTTAAAACTTACGCCTTTGGAAACCTTGGATCTAGCAGGCACAGAGATCGCGCTCATGTTCCTTTGCTGAGCCACATTCTTGATGAAACTAGCATTGCCTCTCAAAAGACTCCTCATGCCAAGCATTTTGGAAATATTGGCAAAATTTGCAGCAGAAAAGCTATCTCGCAAATTATCAAAATTTTGACAGAATTGACATATGCTAACAAAGTTGCTATACGTGAAAATTCTCCAGAATGCTGCTGCTAGGAAAATACCTGACAATGAGTTTCTGCCATTTCTGTAACAAGAGTGCGAGTCACACTTCTTTTCGTTTCTAAAATTAGTTACAAGAAAAATTTTGCGACTTTTTAATTAGTTCGGTTTCGTCTATTAACATTTACTATGATTTTATTTTACTCAATGGTAGAATTATACTGGTCTTTAGATTATAAGCTATAATCCGGACACCGTTTCAGGACATTGCGAGTGATACCTCCGGTGCTAGTCCGGATAACTAGTAGAGAGAGGATAATGAGCTAGATATTCTCTGGTGTATCCAGTCGTATAGGAATAATGGGAACTGTAAAAACGCTTTGGCATTGAGAAGTGACAGTGCCTACAGCTCCATCATCTGTTAGTTGTGCAATGCATAACGGGAAGTGAGCGTGCCAACAGCTCTGGTACCGATGTGGAAAATAGGGAGGGTGCAGTACGTGTCTTCGGGATCATTCACCCGAGGCATTAGCCTTTTGAGCACCGGATGAAGTCCGTGATAACTGTCTGACACCCTGTCCGTGGGCTGATCTGGATTCAAGACCTTTGCCAATGAAATGAAGCTTATGATGAGCACCATAAGAGTAGAATTTTCATTTGGAGTGGAATTATAGTGTTAACGACAACTAGCGACTTCTATGCCATCTATCTAGCGACATTTCGTTAGTCTAGTTGGCTATACAGTTTGACGGAGTGTGTCTTCTCCTTAGTCTGTGGTCCGAGTTTCTAAACGTGTTCTAAACGAAGTTATCTATCACTGTTGCCAGATTAGGCGATTTTTCGCCATTTAGGCTTCTTTAAGGGGTCGCGCGGCGACTAAAAATGTAATCGGCGACTCGGCGGTATTTAGGCTATGTTTGAAATAATAAAAAGCTATTTTAGGCTACTTAATAAAATGTCAATAGAGTTGTAAAATAACTCATTTGGGGGTTTGAGTATTTCTACGTGTGGGTAATTGGGGAAATAAAAGGTCATATTTCCCAATGTCCCGCAGCAAGCAGAATAAAATTGTAGAATTGTATTTCTTGATTTTTAGGAATTTTGTGGCTTTTGAGCGAATATCGGCGAATATACTTATCACACATAAATTGGCGGATTAACTTCGCAAAAGTCTGGCAAGACTGTTGTCTACTCATACTGTCTGGATTCGCTCTGGACCTTTTGGAGGGAAAAGTGTCGTTTTTATTTTGACTTTCAATTATTTTGTGAAATCTAGTTTAAAGTGGAATAGGATAGTGCTATTGTGCCTTAATGGAAGATTGAAATGCGAAATTATACGAATCTCGAACTAAAATACCCGTATCGGCCCGTTCTAAGAAATCCCGAGTCAATCCAAGCACGCCGCCTCAAATTGCCTATCCTCTTTGTGGCGGCCATATTTACAGAAAAACTTATTTTTATGTTTTCGGCTGAAGGACTTTGTTTCCATGGCCAGAAATAAATGAATTAAAAAAAAAACTGTGTTTAGGTGACATTTGTGCCGGGACGCCTTGTTCACGTTGTTTTCATTAAAACTTAATATCAAAATCCATATTTATAACAAAAGTGATCGTTCAAAATGGCTGTAAGTATAATTTGCCAACTCTTAATTGACTTTCTGTTTACTATAGACAGTAGAAACAATATTTATGAAACATAACCTCAAAACACTGAATCATTATTCTATATTTTTTACCTTAATATGGATAATAAACTTCACAAATGACACCAAAAACGCTTTTTACAGTCGTTAGCAGCCGCTCAAGTACAAGAAGTGCGCTCAATAACGCGTATTGAACGCATTGGTGCCCATTCTCATATTCGCGGTCTTGGTCTCGATGATTCCCTGGAGCCCAGAGCAGTGTCCCAGGGTATGGTGGGTCAAAAGATGGCGAGAAAAGCTGCTGGAGTCATCTTACAGATGATTCGAGAAGGTTCGTACATATTGGACAAATATTTTGGTTGCCATGGTAACTGGAAATTCGATTAGAAATATCCTCCCCCCTAAAATCCCCCGTCCCGTTAATATCAACTTCCTCTTAACTTTAGTCCACTCTTCCTTTGTAAGTCCTGTGTAGTATATTTATAAAAAATTGTTTCTGTAACAGTCTGTGTATGTACTCTGCTGTTGTAGATTATCTCCTCAGTGATTTTTTTCGGAATTTACCAGTCAATCTTTGAGTTGAAAAACGCGTGCATGCATCAACTTGGCATTGGCGAAGTCATATATTACTTTGTTTTGACACAAAATGACGCCATGAGAATTTTTCATTGTGTTGAATTTTTATATTGTTTGTTTTTAGGCAAAATAGCAGGCAGAGCTGTTCTACTAGCGGGCCAACCAGGCACTGGTAAAACCGCTATCGCCATGGGGTTGGCTCAGGCGCTTGGGCCAGACACACCTTTCACCAGCATGGCTGGTAAGTAAATAGGTTTATTTGAAGACCTCAGTGGCCTAACCGTTTGCACTATGGGCTTTAAATGTGGAGGTCCTAGTAGAACCAATTTGGAGAAAGAATTTTTGTAAATATTTCTGGTCTAGGTGTTCAGTGTAATGCCCCGGAAGAAATTTTTACTTAGTAATTTATTTCAGGCCACATGACCCATTATATAATATACATTACGGACTAACATACATACAATATAATAAACTAAATAACTACTCTACACGAATTGCACTTGTCGGCGATGTGTAAAAAATATGATTTTCATTTCTTATACACTGTCCAACCATTTATTTAACTTTTGACATATGCATGTTTCCAAAGCAGTGTTGCCAGATTTTAGTGAAGTTAATTCGCCAATTTATGCGTGTTAAGTAGCCGATATTCGCCCAAGCCATAAAATCCCTATGATTCAAGGAAGTGCTGGACGTTGGGGAATATGAACTCTCTTATTTCCCCAATTTTCCACACATAGAAATACTCAAACCACCAAATGAGTTATTTTACACTCCATTCCCCACAAAATCCCCAATCAAATTTGTAATTCCCCAGACATTTTATTAAGTAGCCTAAAATCGCCTTTTCATATTTCAAACATAGTCTAAATATCGCCGAGTCGCCGATCACTTTTTTTAGTCGCCGCGCGACCCCTCGATGTAGCCTAAATAGCGAAAAATCGCCTAATCTAGCAACACTGGTAGACAACTTCGTTTCGAACACGTTTAGAAACTCGGGCCACAGACTAAGGAGAAGATACACTCCGGCAAACTGTTTTGCCAACTAGACTAAGGAAATGTCGCTTGGTAGATGGCATAGAAGTCGCTAGTTGTCGCTAATACTATAATACCATTCCAAATGAAAATTCTACTCTTATGGTGTTCATCATGCAACACTGTTCGAAAATTTCATAGTTATTGACATACTCGTACAACCATAGACAAAAAATCCTGGACTCTTGTTTTTTAATTTTGGCGAAGCGACATGCTCTTTAGCTCCGATATTTATTGAGCCAATAGATTATGTAACGAAGATTATTTAAGTTGATAAATTTGTTACCTGTCCAATAATTATAATCAAATGAAATAAATTATAAATAATTATAATAAATTCTTAATGTTTATTATAATCAATTGTCGGATTCTTCTTCATATGCACGGGATTCATCACTTAAATCCTCAATAACATTAATTATTAATTCTTGGGTACACAAATTGTCCAACACAACATCACAATGCCAATAAGATAATATCTTCTGTTTTGAACCCGCTCACATTCACAATTAAAACTTCTTCATAAATAAATTCGATTTTTATAAAAAATGTCGTCAGAAACGCATTAGGACATGAAAACTTATATTTTAAAACGTAGCAGTACAACAAAAACCTGAATAGGTAAAATGTTAAATGAATGGTTGACGAAGTATAATCATATATATTTGTTTTTATCAAACATGAATAAATGAAGTCACGACCTCATTGAAGTGCCATTTAGTGTAGAATGATCACTGCTTAGACTGATTTATATTTTTGTGTGAAAATAAAATCTGATGATTTATTAAAAGTGAAGAACAAGGGTTGTTGTTTATGATATTAGTTTTATAGTCTTGTGAGGTTGTTGCATTTTACAAATAACCCTGCGAAGGACTGTAAAGCTATTTCGCTTTTTATTGTAATATTTGCACCTTAACAATATACTCAGCGAGTTAAGAAAAATATAACCAAAATATGGAGTAATACTTTGATTTAAATTTTCACACATCACATTACACACGGACATATTGCAACGTCCATGGTCTCGAAGGGACTGAAGAGGCGGGTGTCAGCATCTTCTAGCCATGGGAGTTTTTCTAAGTATATTTATTAGTCATTTCATTATTTATCAGTCCCTTAGAGACCATGGATGTTGCAATAAGTCCGAAACGTTGAGGTAATTAAAATTTGTTTTATACGTGATTAAGTCCCGAATTAAAAATCAAATGATATGGAGTAATGTTCTGGTAGTCAGGGAGTATAACACGTTCAGCACCATGTGTGTACCTTGTTATACACCCAATATTTTTGTCCCAGGCCAGTGTGTCCCCGGCTATACATAGGTAAGGCCTGGCTCTTTAGGCGATCTCAGCGTATACATAGTTTCGAACATTTTGTATGAGCATTTGAAAGCCTTGGCCATCATGAATCATTCAGTGTTTTTGGGATGTGAATATCTGTGATAGTTTTGAAGTTATGGTGAACCATATAAAAAATAAGGATAAAAAAGTTAAATATATTGTTACAATTACCTTTTTTAAAATTAATCAATTAATTTATTGAAAGAGATCGAATTAGTACAAGAAATAGTACAATGTATATATATAAAATTATTGTTTTGTTGTACTCGTCAATTATTTAGTGCTTATATTTATTATATTTTTGCTACATGTCGCTATATGTATCGAAAAAATCTCCCAGGCCAGTGTACCCTGCTTGATACAACTGAAAAAAAAAAACAAATAAAGGGGCACAGGGTGTGGGGCGTTTCATAATATTAATTCCACACACTAGATGAATACCAATAGAAAGTATATAAGTAAAAAAAATGTGATTCCCACGTATTTTGCCTTGCAGGCCCTTGGCGCTGAACTTGTTAAGAAACTTTTTAAGCCACTTTGATCTTTAATTATGTTACATAAATACAAAAATCAAAAAGCTGGAATTATTTACACTTTACAGTTGAATACTTAAGAAACCAAAAGGTTGGTTAAGCGGTCAGGTATCTTAGTGCGTCGACTGCACACTGCACATATCTTATGCCTCGGAACTGTGAAATATTTTTTTCAGGATCAGAAATTTACTCTTTGGAAATGAGCAAGACGGAAGCTCTGACGCAGGCCATCAGAAAATCTATTGGTATCAGAATCAAGTAAGTGCTCAATTTACATTCTACAGTTAGGCATAAGTCTTTTTTTATGATATCAAGAAACAGGACGAACAAGTCGTGCGCCTGTAGGCGACATGCCAAGTCTCAACAGTTGCAGTGCCACTCAGAGCTTTAAACCGCAAAGATCTGAGGAGCACTGTTTCTGCGCCTGTCACTCTGAGACATAAGTTGACTAGTCCTGACGGGGCCAAAATGGGGTAATTGAACGCACCGACTGACCTTGGATTGTTTCTTCGATAGTTGCATCGGTTGCCGGTCTTTATGCGTCCGCCCAGGTGTTAGGGAGTTGTCGCGTTGCCCACTCTAGTCTCTCACGGACTGATAATGTACTATGATGATTGTTCGTGTTGCCGTTGGACAACTGCTGTGGTGATATCGCGTCAAAGCAACCAGAAGCTAGCGCGGTGTAACTGCAACAGAACGCGTCAAAATGGGGAATGTCCTACCCTCAGTGCGTTTTTTTTAGGATCGTCCAGAGACTTACTGTCACTTTACTTATTTCTGCCGCCGAGCAGTAATGTGAGCATTACTGCGTTCCGGTTTTGACGGGTGAGGGTGCTGGTGAAATTACAGGCACATGGGACTCGTCAACTTATGTCTCAGGGTGACGGGCGCATTGGCAGTGCCCCTCGGATCTTTATGATTTAAAGCTTAACTGCCTCCGTGGCCGAACGGTTACCATGCCGGACTGCCACGCAGAGGTCCCAGATTCGATTCCCGGGCCGGGAGAAATGTTTGTATGGCTTACATTTATTTCTCTCGTGAGTTTGGGTGTAATTTGTGGTTGTCTATGTGTATGTCCATGGCACCCGCGACACAGGGTTTCCCTAGTGCGGGGCTATGTTGAGTGTGTGCGTTATTAAAAAAAAAGCTCTGAGTGGCACTACAACTGTTATGGACAGGCGTGTAGCTTACCGTCTCAACCGCACGATCTGTTCGTTGCGTCACTTGATATTATAAAAAAATCTTCAAATTTGAATGGTAACTGGTAAACTACTGAGGTACCCCCTTTCCAACAAAAAACAGAATAACCGAAATCTTTTTCATTCTTGTCCAGAGAAGAGTCTGAAATAATCGAAGGCGAGGTGGTGGAGGTGGTGATCGAGCGCGCGGCAGGAGGGGGTGGAGCTAGAGTGGGGAGGCTAACCTTGAAGACCACCGATATGGAGACCAACTACGATATGGGAGCGAAGATGATCGATTCACTGCTTAAAGAAAAGGTCTGTTTTTTTAGACCTCCAACCGATTACAGTCCTACTTAACTGAGTCGGTTTCTGAGGTAGCTGCGTGGTGCGCGAGGGGTGGCAGTTTACGTGACAGCTATGTCGCGCTGCACACGAGATTATTTCAACAAGATTTTTCTGACGATATTCAATAGCAAGATGATTGAAAAAAGTACCTACCAAATTAGTCAATTATTGTTATGTGAAACGATATTTTTGTTTTTATTAACAGTTTTGGCTTGGATACAAGTCCTTTGAGCCATGTCTTCGTTTAATTATCGGAATCCTCAATAAATATTTTCCATTGTTGTGCTAGTACATTATGTTTTCACTTTCTCGTAGATAATATACTTCTCTTGTTTGGGTTTTCTAAATAACCTTTTAAGCGGCGGGAGCCTATACTTATGTTTACTTTCATTTAAATTACATTATATTCTATCACTTTGAATTCGTAATTAGTGGAATTTTCAGGATAAAGTCTTTTGTAATTTGGTTTAAAATAAAGAATATAGTTCTAACTTTCTCCATCACTATTTCTTTCTTCGTATTTTCTTCTTTAAATATAATTTTCGTAATAATATAAAAATAATCTTCGTATAAACTGTACTTGTTACTTTAAAAGCCCGCCATTTTCGGAACGATAATAAAAAGAAACTATTTCATTGACAATTGAAATGAATAGACAAGCCATTTGGCACTTTTTTTAATCAACTTGTTATTTAATATCGTCAGAAATACAGAAAATTGTTGAAATTAGACATAACTTTTACGTAAACTGTCACCCCTCCCTTACCGCGCAGCCACCTCAGGAATCGCTTTAAATAAGCGGTAGGCCTGTAGTATGAAATTTGAAACTACTAGTTTTCTTTCTTAGTCTTGAACTATAATATGATTAACTTTGTCTATGTGCAAATCCTATTGGGCAGGTGCAAGCCGGCGACGTGATAACCATAGACAAAGCTACGGGGAAAATCAACAAACTCGGACGCAGCTTCGCCCGCGCCAGAGACTATGACGCTACAGGTTATATCTATTTTTTTGTAGAGAAATATTGTTCAGTTGTGACATCATGTTGTAGATAAAATGTAGTGTCGGTAGATCTATGGATCAATGACTGAAAAGCACTTCTAATGAAGGTACAAGACAGCATAGTGGGGTATTTAATACCTATAGTTACACTAGATGTCGCGACGAGCGGTTATTCCATCAATATAAGAGATATCAAAAAGTTTTAAACTGATATCGCAAGTATGTTACCTAATGAGTAAATCGACATCATTAACTTTTTAACAATAAAGCTTCATATATCCAAAATTTTAACATTAAACCATCGAGTACATAACCAGAAATAGTGACGAAATGTCATTTAATTTGTTTGATAACTATTCTGCCAAGTCATTACGGTGACAACTGCGCTCCGATCGGCCAGTCGTCAATTGTTTCACTTGACATCGCCCAGTTTAACCAGAGCTTTTTAGAATAGACGAAAATTGAAAAATTACATGTTTTTATTACCTATGAAATGTGATTCCGTTTGTTTTGTAATTAAATGTTTTGCTGTTTTTCCCCCACCACCGAATGGAACAGCCCCCATTGTTAGAGATATTATCTTTATTACAATAAATACAGAATATTTATGGAATATATCGTCGGTTAAAAGGTAAAACTCATTAAGTGACATTTTGT